AGTTATTTGAATTTTGAGTATAAAGTTGAAATTATTATTAATCATTCAAAATATTGCCCTTCCTGGCAACATTCGGAGTATATTATAGAATATGTAAGGAGCCCGGGGTTAAAATATGCCCCAAGAAATCAAGATAGCAGATGACACTAGCTCCTCACAAAGCTATTTTAAGTTGGAATAGTATAATTTATATGAACTATTAAAAATTTACATAGCATTGGGACAGCCATACTGTTCTAATACTTTATTAAACTACTGCAAGAACATTTTCCCTATTAAATTTAATGAAGGTAAATAATTAAACAAATTATTTAATAATTTAACAAATTAATAATTTATGTGTTGGGGTCTCAAGTTCCCCAATTCTCCAAAATTATTATTTTTATTTCCTTATTCTGCAGTAGTCAAAATCAGGTATACATGTCCCATTATAGATATCTTTTTTCTATTTCTCATTTGTTATCAGCTCACTGATTATTAAAATAGTTTAGCATATCCTAGTAGTTGATAAGCTTGAAAAATTTAAAGATATGTATATAGAATAATCATTTGAGTATAATGTCAGTAGTTTTTATTATTATATTCAGAACCTAGATATCATAATATACACATTTTCTAGTTAAAGGCTGTGTAGTTTCTTTTCAAATGTTTATCCTGACCTGCAGGAATAGATTGAAAATATCAGTGTGTGGTCACTATGAATGTCCAGGTTTTTGGGAGTTTCATAAGCAATAAAGAACTGGCTGATGGAACTTTACCATGCAGATAAAATAGTTAGACACAAAGGTAGGGTAATTTTAAAAACCAAATTGAAACTATTGGTTCTGTTTCCACTGAAATGAGTAGAATCAAACACTTCCTGTTGTTATTACTATTATTATTATCATCATTATTATTTTTTATAGAGGCAAGGTCTTATTACATTGCCCAGACTGGTCTCAAACTCCTCCTGGGCTTAAGCAATCCTTCCTCCTTGGCCTCCCCAAGTGCTAGGATTACAGGCATGAGCCATGATGCCTGTCCAGTTCCTGTTATTAGATTAGTAACACCAGGGAACCGGATTTTTTTTCCCCTACAAGTTGTTATCACTAGAGTCACAAAGTTATTATCCCCAGCCGTTTCTGGTTAGGAAGTGTTTTTATAAGATGGACATGGCTTCAATGTGTCAGTATATGAAGAGGAAGCCTGGTAGGTTCCAATGGGATTCTGACCTTGGAAACCTTGTGGAGCAGAGTTATTATTTGAGCATGATCTGGCTTGTGGAGTGTTCAGCTGTGTGCAAGTAGCAGGCTGAGAAAGGTAGGGAGCATACTAGGATTTTTAATTTCCTGTGACTAGCCAATAACTTCCACTTATCAGATGCTCCGTTTTTGTTGAATTTAATTAACTGGCAGTTTTGGATCTGAAAATGCTGATGTCTATAGGGGTGCACAGAGACTTGTGTCATGGGCTGAATTGAGCCCATTTTGGTTCTCCTTTCTGCCATTTGCCACGTCACAGGTCTGTGACCCACTCCTAGGTGGTCAGGGCCAGCCCTCTTTAATTGTCTCAAGTCTTCCTGACTGGAGAAAGAATCATGGACTTGAGAACCTGAAGATGTGGGAATCAGTTTGTCCTTTTGTTATTTTTAGAAGAGCCTTTTGCACTTTGTTTCTGTCCCCATATGGGTATATGGAGACAGCAGTCACTGTGAGGTAATGGTTGGTGAAGATGGCCAGATTCCTGGGTGGTAGGCACCCCTGGAGCTGACTGTCCAAAGTCATGATTGCCAGTGCCCTCTAGAAGTGGGCTGCCTGTACTGGCCCACTACTGTTATGCTTGGCACCCAAGATGGATTGCTCCTTCTCTCTCAGGATTTATTTTATATGATATAACTCAAGATGTTACTTTGCCGTGGTCTGAAGTGTTACCAAATAATATTTGTCCATAATACTTTTTAAAAACTTGGTATAAATTTAGTAATAAAAATCTCAGAAAATCCTCTAATACCACTACTACTGATATTAAATTGGAAGCTACCAAATTGCTTATAATGCTTAATATAACTACACAATGTGGCTATTAAAACTTTCTTATGATGATTGGATATTGCCTGAAGTCTCATGTAAGGTTCAAAAAATGCAGTGATTCAAGGCCGGACACGATGGCGCATGCCTGTAATCCCAGCTACTCAGGAGGCTGAAGCACAATAATTGCTTGCATCTGGGAGGTGGAGGTTGCAGTGAGCTGAGATCATGCCACCGCACTCCAGCCTGGGCGACAGAGTGAGACTGTCTTTAAAAAAGAAAATAAAAGAAAAGCAGCCCTTTACTGTACACACACACATACATACAGTTGATCCTTGAACTGCACGGGTCCACTTATATGTAGACTTTTTTCAAGCAAACACAGTATTCGTGGGATGCAAAACCTGTGTGTATGTAGGGCTAGCTTTTCATATGTGTGGGTTTCACAGGGCCGACTGTGAGACTTGAGTATGTGCAGATTTGGGAGTATGTAGGGGTTCTGGAACCAATCCCTGACCGTCTAAATATATATTTATCTCTTTTTTCTCCCAATAACCCACCTAAAGAACAGTTAGGGAATAAAAAAGGATATGAACCCACCAAGACAAAGACAGGAGAAGAGAAAACAAGCAGGTGAGACGTAGCTATAAAATTTCAGGAGGTGGAAGGTGGATGAGGGTTGACTCTTACCTTTGAGCTTTTCATGCTCTGCTAAGTTCGTTTGGGGGGAAACCAAGAAGAAACAAGTCAACTTATGTCACTTATCCCAGAAAGGCAGAAATAAAAGCATCTGAAAAAAGAAAAACTGGTTGAAAGTAGATGTAGAGTAGTTAAGTCCCCAATTTACTGCCTGCCCCGTGCAGCCAGATAACCAGATAAGAAGTCGGGGACTTCCCTAGTCTGGTAGGAGCTCATGTATGGAGAAAAATGGAAAGGAGGGAATTCTCAGCTATATTTTATAAATAATAAATATTATTTTTTATTATAAATATTCTTTTTATAAATAATAAAAATTATTGTTATTTATAAAAAATAGCTGCCCAGATCTGAAGTGCATAGTTTTCTTGATTAAAAAGCATCACAGCAGGAGGCTGAGGCAGGAGAATCACTTGGACCTGGAAGGCGGAGGTTGCAGTGAGCCGAGATCATACCATTGCACTCTAGCTTGGGCAACAGGGTGAGACTCCGTCTCCAAAAAAAAAAAAAAAAGTGTCACAGAGTACCCAGTACAACAAAGGAGCAAAAATGCTTTAAAAAAAAAAAATGGAGCAAGAAAGAAAATACAATAATTATTAGTGTCAGAGCTGTGAACAGTATTTGTGTACACATAAACAATATAGATTTAACTAAAACTGGTGATATGCATTAGAATGTATTGGGGATGAGAGAGATTTTCAAGATCCTGTATTAGGTAGATAATTTCTAACATGGAATTAGTCAGAACATAAAAATATAAACTTTCAAAAATATGTAGCCAAACACCAGAAGAAACAGCTTAAAACATTAAAAATGGTTGCCTTGGAGGTGGAGGGGAAAGAGGGACAAAGGAAACTGCTGTGTTTTTTTTTTTTTTAAATTTTTTTATTATACTTTTAGGGTACATGTGCACAACGTGTAAATTTGTTACATATGTATACATGTGCCATGTTGGTGTGCTGCACCAATTAACTCGTCATTTACATTAGGTATATCTCCTAATGCTATCCCACCCCCCTTCCCCCACCACACGACAGGCCCCAGTGTGTGATGTTCCCCTTCCTGTGTCCAAGTGTTCTCATTGTTCAATTCCCACCTATGAGTGAGAACATGCGGTGTTTGGTTTTCTGTTCTTGCGCTAGTTTGCTGAGAATGATGGTTTCCAGCTGCATCCATGTCTCTACAAAGGACATGAATTCATCCTTTTTTATGGCTGCATAGTATTCCATGGTGTATATGTGCCACGTTTTCTTAATCCAGTCTGTCATTGATGGACATTTGGGTTGGTTTCAAGTCTTTGCTATTGTGAATAGTGCCACAGTAAACATACATGTGCATGTGTCTTTATAGCAACATGATTTATAATCCTTTGGGTATTATATATATTACCCAGTAATGAGATGGCTGGGTCAAATGGTATTTCTAGTTCTAGATCCTTGAGGAATCGCCACCCTGTCTTCCACAATGGTTGAACTAGTTTACAGTCCCACCAACAGTGTAAAAGTGTTCCTATTTCTCCACATCCTCTCCAGCACCTGTTGTTTCCTGTCTTTTTAATGATTGCCATTCTAACTGGTGTGAGATGGTATCTCATTGTGGTTTTGATTTGCATTTCTCTGATGACCAGTGATGATGAACATTTTTTCATGTGTCCGTTGGCTGCATAAATGTCTTCTTTTGAGAGGCGTCTGTTCATATCCTTCGCCTACTTTTTGATGGGGTTGTTTTGATGGGACAAAGGCGAAAAGTTTCAAGATTTGATGGGGTTCCTTTGAGGGACAAAGGAAACTGCTATGTTTTTTTAAAAAAATAAAATTTGTAGTTATTATGTGACTTTGAAAACTACATTCATGTATTGTTTCTAAAATGTTTTAAAAGTTAATTTTTAAAGGTAAGAAAACAAATAAGATATTGTATAGTTTTCCATCAAAAATGATTATAAACAAACTTTTGGAGTCTCTCTTCAGTCAAGTGGAAGTCCTTGTTCCGTAACAACATCGGAGAAGTACCTGTACTCCTATAATACATACTTAAGAAATGTATGTTTTATTAATTACCTTGGTGTCATTGTTTTTTAAAGCCTTTTCTCCTTCATTCAATTTAATATACACATGCTTGTTATAAAAAAGTTGAAAAATTGCCTAGTCTTATTTGCAACTTTAAGAGGAGTTTCTAGGGTTGTTAATACAGTGCACATATATGCCCATCCTTGCATTTCTTTTTGCTTTATGGAAGCACCCAAAGAATTAATCATGATGCATAAAATACAACCAATCAACGAAACCTTCTGCTTTCCAGGGCGGAGAGCACTGTTACTACCATGGAAGCATTAGAGGCGTCAAAGACTCCAAGGTGGCTCTGTCAACCTGCAATGGACTTCAGTAAGTGGGAATGTCATTGGCATTTTATTCATTGACCCTTTCCAGTTTTCCTTTTATGGATATATATATTTTATATTTATATATTATATATATACTAAAAATATATATATATTTATTTATTTATTTATTTTAGTGACTCTTCTGTGCCAGTGCTGTGTTAGGGACTGCATATGGAGTGGTGCACAAGGAGGGCAATGTCCCTGTCCTCTTGAACACTTAGTGTTTGTAGGAGATTCAGAGATTAATCAAATGATTACATAGGTGAATGTTTAATTACCATTGTGCTAAGAGCTGTAAAGGGGAAGATAGGAGCTTGTGGAGTGGCAAAACCTAGTCCAGGAAGGTTTCCCAGTGGCATATTCCGGAGGCATGTCAGTTAGACCTACAGCTAGACTTGAGAGTCAGTAGCCCTTAGATCTAAGAAACTTAGACCTAACAGTAAGTTGGAGTTAGCCAGGCAAGGGTGGGGTGACAAAGAGAGGAGTTCTCACATTGACCTAGGTGTGGGCTCTAACAAAACCATGTGTTGGCACCTTTTAGACCTGAACACAGTAGCACCTCATATAAAGACTTAGTTTTGGCCATGTGATGACAAAGAATCTTGAAACTTTTTGCCCTTTTATAAAAAACCTTATGTCCCTGAAAATTAAATGTAATTTGTGTGACATAGAGTCATACTGCTTGATGGCAATTTAGAATTTGTAAGCATGAAGATACCACTGTTTGCTTCTTCAGAAACAGATGGTTTTAGATTATTCTCATATTAAAGAACCTGTTTTCTTACAGATGATATTGAATTTGCATAACTAGAAGTTTGTATAGTTGTACATGGTTCTGGAATAATTACTTTAGAGACTGCCACTGAGTGAATAGTCATATCCCAGAGTAGTTTTCCAATCTATTTGTTGAATTTCAAACATCAGTTATATCAGGTGTAATTTGCATGTATTTGATGTATACTTTTATAATGTTTATAGCCTCCATGCTGCCTAATAGAGTGCTGGGGCCACAGTGGGACTCCATGCAGATATGTGAATTAAACTTGTGACAGTGTAAAGGGATTTGTTCAGTTATACTCTTTATTTTGAAGACACAATAATGAAGCTCACTTGCTATTTCTTGCCATTTCCTGTGTTTGTTTGTTCCTTCCTTGTGTGGTTTCTTTTGTGCTAGTGGCATGTTTGAAGATGATACCTTCGTGTATATGATAGAGCCACTGGAGCTGGTTCATGATGAGGTGAGTCTATGCCATCAGTTGCCTGATGGCGTTCTACTCCTCCAGCATCTTTGCCTTTGAGCAGAAAAGAGAAAAGAATGTAGATTTCAAAGTGCCTTTGTACGTGTTACCTTATTTCAAACTTAGAGTGGTACCCTCAGTTTTGAAATTTAAGTCGCACATGCCAGGCCCAAGTACCAGTAAGGGATAATAAGAGGCATCAAACTTAGGTTTTCTGAAGCAAATCCTAGTCCTTCCCAGTCTATGAAAAGAGCGGGGAGAATATTTTGTTTTATACCAGCCAGCCTCCTTGCTTTAAACTAGCTTTCATAGAAGTCATTATACAAAAAAGATACTTGCACACACACACGTTTATAACAGCACAATTTGCAATTGCAAAAATATGGAACCAGCCTAAATGCCCATCAGTCAGCAAGTAGATAAAGAAAATGTGAGAGAGGGATACACACACACACACACACACACACACACACACACACACACCATGGAATACTACTCAGCCATAAGAAGGAATGAAATAATGGCATTCACAGCAACCTAGATGGAATTGGAGAGTATTACTGTAGGGAATTGGAGACTATTACTGTAAGTGAAGTAACTCAGGAGTGGAAAACCAAACATTGTATGTTCTCACTCATATGTGGGAGCTAGGCTGTGAGGACACAAAGGCATAAGAATGATACATTGTACTTTGGGGCGTTGGGGGAAAATGGAGGGTGGCGAGGGATAAAACACATTTGGGTACAGTGTACCCTACTTGGCTGTTGGGTGCATCAAAATCTCAGAAATCACCACTAAAGAACTTATTCATGTAACCCAACACCACCTGTTCCCCAAAAACCTATTGAAATTAGAAAAAAATAGCTTTCATTCTTAACTGTCATCTTTAGAAAATTGTGTGACTATAAGAATGTTCTTAACTTTTATGAACCTGAAAATCTTTAGTGGGGAAATCTGTGAGCTGAACTATGATTACATTATAGAATACTTAGTTTTCTTTACAGATAGGGAGGAAAATAATGTTTAGAGTCATGCATAAACCAGTGATTTAGACAAGAAATCACATGCTCTAATAGTGTTGCTTGCTAATAGAATGCAGTCAAATTTAAAATTTTATGTATATTCAGTAAATATTGTATTAAGGGCTTACTACAAGCTGGGTATTATTTTAGGTTCTGGGGATACTTTGCTGATAAAATAGACAGAGACTGAGCCAAATGGGGCTTACAGTCTATAGGGGCAGATAGGGATACACAGAATGAATAAGTAATTACATGTGGTATGTTAGATAGTGATACATGGTAAGGAGAAAAAGTGAAGCCAGGAAGGTGGAAAGTTAAATTTTTATATATACACGGTTCAGGGAAGGCCACCAAGAGAAGACAAGTGGTGAATGAAGAACTTAGGGAAATTAGAGAGCTGGAAGAACATTCTAGGAGATGAGCAAATACAAAGGCCTTGAGGCAGGAGTGTGCCTAGGGTGTTCGAGGAACTTTGAGGAACCTGACAGGGTTGGAGAGGAGTGACAAGGGGAAGAATAGGAGGAGATTAAGGTACTGAGAGTACGGAAGTCAGATCAGTGAAAAGAACTGAGGTGGTAAAATAATATTTTGTGACTGACAGAGTCAGAATATTGCAATATTTGATGGGGAACAGAAAACATTTTTTATCTTTAGGGATTTCAAATTTAGATAAAATTGGGCCGGGTGCGGTGGCTCACACCTATAATCCTAGCACTTTGGGAGGCCAAGGCGGCAGATCACAAGGTCAGGAGTTCGAGACCAGCCTGGCCAATGTAGTGAAACCCTGTCCCCACTAAAAATACAAAAATTAACTGGGTGTGGTGACAGGCGCCTGTAATCCCAGCTAATCAGGAGGCTGAGGCAGAAGAATCGCTTGAACCTGGTAGGCAGAGGTTGCAGCGAGCCGAGATCGTGCCATTGCACTCCAGCCTGGGCAACAGAGCAAGACTCCATCTCAATAAATAAATAAATAAATAAATAGTGAAACAGCTAATAGTCATGTAGGCTACTGATAATAAAAGCTAAACAGACAAACTTTTATTGTCTTGGTTGTGGCAGTGTTTGTGTGAATATGGGGTAAATTTCAAAGTTGAAACAGAAAAGTTTTAAAGGGTTGGTGTGTGAGTAAACCTCTGTCATTTTTCAACTAGTAACTATAAAAATTATCAGATACTGAAGACAGCCCACTTAGATAAAGACATTTTGATTAAGTAACATGATATTTTTCTCACTCCAGTAAGGAAAGATAATCTGTGTACAGCAAAATTATTCAACTCATTCAGCAAAAACTCTGACTTTGATTTCTGGCTTTAATGATTAATGGCCCTGGTACCCTAAAAAAATCCACAAAGAACAAAACACAGAATCCCACATAATAACTATTTATGCTTCGAGTTTTTTAAATGTATAAAATGAGATAATTTTTTAATGCATTCATAGTGGGGTGATTTTGTAGAATTGATGAATTAATAAATGTAGGTGACAATGTCTATTAAACTGTCATAAGGATTTATAATAATAAAAATATAAAAAAGGATTTATAAATATAAATGTTGTTATAATGTTTAAAGCATTAGTTTTATGTTGATCATATTTGCTTATGATCATAGTATTCAGGGCCTGATTGTTACATGCAAATCGCCTTCTCTTTGCCTTCCTTCCTACTGCCTACCTTTTGTTTATGTGATGATTTGTCCTCATCCACACTATGGGTAGAAGAAAGGAATAGTGCTTGAAACTTTAAATTAGTCCGTTTTTAAAATTGTGTTGCTGATCCCATTGTTAATTTCATTACTGCCTTTTCACCTTTTACCAGAATTTAGAGCTTACTGTAATTAATTTTAGATATTTTGATGTTTAATTTGTTATTATTGATTTTAGTACGCTTTGCGATAAATCAAGTAATATGCATGGAATATTTCTAATGAGAATTCATGTTATCTCTCAAGTAATAAACGAATAGCAAAACTGTTATAAGTCTTATGTAACCTATTAAGTTTCTTTTTTATAACTTTTTCTGGTTATAAAACTAATATAGGAAATTTGGAAAAGCAAAACAAATACTTAAATAGTAATTATCCATTATCCTGTCCCCCGCAAAGATAACTTCTTGTCATATTTCAGAGTATGTTCTTCCAGTTTTCAATGATATAGTCCCATATATTTTAAAAAACAAATTGGACCATTATTTTATAATACAATTTTAAGACAAGGATATATCTCTCTGAGCCTCAATATCTTTGTTTGTAAAACAGGGATAAACCATGCACTATATGGGATCTTTGTCAGGACTAAATTAAGTAATGCGTACATTAACAGTACCTGGTACATACTATGCACTCAGTAATGGAAGCTAATAGTAATAAGAATAATGGTAATAGACATTCCTAAAAGCATAATTTCTAGGGCAAAAAAATATAAATGTTTTCACGTTTGTTGATAGACCTTGCTGAATTTCTCTCTCAAACTATGCTACCAGTTTCCTCTCGCCAGCAAGGTGTGAGAATGCTTTTGGCCTTGCAATGGTAATTAACTATGGATATCGTAATTTTTAAACTTCACCAGTTTTATGGCAAAAGTTGGTGCTTCATTTAAAAAAAATTGCATGTTGAAGGAATATGAAAGCATTCGGCATGTTTTTACATATTTATTGGCTTTTTGTGTTTCTTATGAATTTCCCATTTATAGCTTTGAAGAAAGCTAAGATTTAAGAGTAACCAAATAACACCATGCTTTTATCTAAACTTGGGCAGTTAGATGATACTCTTTTATGTAAAATTAAGATTTCAATAAGACATACTTTACACTTTTGATAGCTAAAAACTGACATATAAATATTCCCATTTTAGAAGGACGTTAGAGAAAGTTCTAACACTGTTTCATAGAGGCTTGTTCACATCTTGCTTTCTAAATTGCCTACAATTGTTGTGTTTCAGAAAAGCACAGGTCGACCACATATTATCCAGAAAACCTTGGCGGGACAGTATTCTAAGCAAATGAAGAATCTCAGTAAGTTTTAATTAAAATAGCGGTTATATTTTATGTAGTAGGAGCTGTTACTTGGTGGAGCTCAGTAGATATGCAGGCTTGTTGGAAGTGGAATTGGTCTGATATCTGGGGTGAATATCGTGGATCAGCACTGGAATGAACGGTGGCTCTCAGATAAAGAGGCATGGAGAGTCATTTCCAATGCAAAGACTAAAACATGAAGGCTGTGAGTAAAGCTGCCTTGGGAACCAGAAAGTGTGGCCAAATTTAGTAGAGTCATTTACAGTGAGGTTCATCCTGAAATTTTCCTGGCAGTTTGCTGCTCTTGAGCCAGCTTGGATTGCCTCCCTCTCAAGCTCTGCTCCAGACACATCTTTAGTGTGCTAATGTTGGCAGGAGCTTCTTTTGGATTGTTGGGGCATGTGATTTTATTTCTGTATATTACTGCTGGAAGTTTTTAATAATTTATGCAAAAGCTAATGCCATATATTATTTTGAATGCTAAAATGAATTAGACATAGTAGAATTCTCTCAAATTTTCAGATATTGTCAAGTGGTTATATGTCAAATATGCATTTTTTAATGAATCTTGAACATTATGTTTTCTTGATGTTTGGGGCAAAATTATATTTGAACCATCTTCATGGTCATGAGAGTGAAATATGATCAGTGTGCTTTTTTTTCACCTTAGTTTGACATATATTATCAGTGCCACTGTTTCTTCATGCAGTGTTTTAAAACATACTCCTATTGAAATAAACATAAAATTTTGATACTAATTTTTCCATTCCACAGCTATGGAAAGAGGTGACCAGTGGCCCTTTCTATCTGAATTACAGTGGTTGAAAAGAAGGAAGAGAGCAGTGAATGTGAGTGTGGCATTGAGCCTTGGGTGGCGCTGTTTTACTCAGTGAAGTCATGTGCTTATCATCACACAGTATCTAAGTGTACCTAAAACAGTTTAGATTTTGGAGACTGTTGTTTAAAAATGAAAACAATAAACCAAAAAACCCAATGATTTGAGCCTTCTCAGCACACTGCTTTTTATTGATCTCTTTCTGTTAGTGATTCAAACTGATGACAGTAGTCTCTGAACCCTGGTGTCATCTAAAGAATGTGTTGTTTTAGCTCTGTTTTCAAGGTGTTTTCTGATGATAATTGCAGTACGTTTTATTTTCTGTTTAAAGTACAGCAGACTTTTCTTTCTATATGGCTTATATAGTGTCATATAAAACATTTCTGTTAATAAAAAATGTAGGGAGAGGAGTTAGGTTTTGAAATGTTGGCTAATCATGCTTATTTATATTACTTTCAGATTAAAAATTCTGTTACACCAAACTTTAAAACTGTATGTGTTTTTCAGAACACAATGAATTTATTTGACTATTAGCAATATAACAGTTTCTAAATAAAAATCATATAACTGTATAATCAACTACTGTTATATACTTCACATGTATTGATAAACGTATGGGGGCTTTGTAACTGAAATTATGTTTCTGGTCTTTTCATAATAGGCTAGAAAGCTGTAATGATGGGGACTGTTTAGTAATAACATGGTGAATGCTATGTAACTGAGAATTAATTCCACAGCTTATACATATCATGGTAGTTTACTAGATAACTTAATGAGTAATTATAGTAGAAATCACACATTTTAGATAATGTTTTGCTGAGTGTATTTTTTTGTGAAAAAAAAATAGACCACCAGCCGTCAAAAACTTAGTTCCAGGTTAAATTGTCCTCCCTTTCATGAAACTCCTATTATGATAATTATGGATACATTTATTATATATTATATAAGTTATTATAAGAGTTCTTTTAGCTAATTCATAAAGATGTGGTTGGTAATAATAAGTTTTACAATGGCTGCTGTTCTTTCACTACAGTCCACTCCATCAAATATAAAGTGATCAATGACTATGTACATAAAGAAAAAAGAGCCACCATTGTAATTTTCCACCTATGAAAAAGAAAAGTCCAAATGAAGGCTAAAATACTTACTCTTAAAGGATTATCTAGTTAATTTAGAAGACTTTAGAATGTAGTAATTGCCAATATTTGTTCCTTTGAGAAGTTGAGCAGTTAAGAATTAGTGTATTATTTTTAGAATTTCACTCTAGTAAGTTAATATTTCTATTTAACTACATTGATACCTGTATCAGCTATACCTGGAAGTAATTATAACTTATGCTGTTCTTATTAAATGAGTTTTACATAGATTTTCATTGACATTTTAAGTAAGTATGAAAATCTTATCACATGTTAATGTGAAATTGAGATTTATTTATTTTAACAGAATTATGCTATAATTGTGCTCTAGAATATTTTTACATATAAAAACCATATACAAACAACATGGACTGTTTTCTTTTTTTTTTTTTTGAGACGGAGTCTTGCTCTGTCGCCCAGGCTGGAGTGCAGTGGCGCGATCTTGGCTCACTGCAAGCTCCGCCTCCCGGGTTTACGCCATTCTCCTGCCTCAGTCTCCCGAGTAGCTGGGACTACAGGCGCCCGCCACCACGCCCGGCTAATTTTTTGTATTTTTAGTAGAGATGGGGTTTCACCGTGGTCTCGATCTCCTGACCTTGTGATCCGCCCGCCTCGGCCTCCCAAAGTGCTGGGATTACAGGCGTGAGCCACCGCGCCCGGCCGTACATGGACTGTTTTCTATGTTGATAAGTAAGTACCTTAATAATAATATAATATAGTTATTTTCTAAATAATTATATACCCATATTTTATGATCACTTTTTAAAATTTGCCTGACCAACATTCTTCTAAGGTGTTTATAAAGTAGGCAGCAGAGAGTTGTTCTGAAACTGAGTCTTATCTACAACTTAACAGTGAGCGCTAGAGAGATTTTATGTCAGTTACCATTCTGACCATCTATTTTTATTTTCCATAGCCATCACGTGGTATATTTGAAGAAATGAAATATTTGGAACTTATGATTGTTAATGATCACAAAACGGTAAGAATATAGAGTCAGTGGGTGTTAGACCAGATAGCTTACTTAAGAAAGAATACATTTTACTTTATATTTAATCATTACTTTTTACTTATTAACCCCAAGATATTTAGACATGTTGAATGACTTGATTTATTTCTTGGTGTTTGGAGACTCCGAGTTTTACAGAATTTTCATAACTCTAAACTTTCCTTATGTTTAATAATTGTAATTAATAGATTTAACTATCTGGCATATTTTGTCTTCATTTAAAATTCTTATTCTCTACTTTTCTTCATCTATGTATTTGGTCATTGCTTTCTAATTTTATTCCATGCTTTTGTCCTGCTAGTATGTTATTTTTTCTTATTAGTTAATTATGATTATGGTAGATATAATTGTAGGAGGTAAACATATAAAATAAAGGTGTATCTAAAGTGAGTATCTTTGATGACTTATCATCTTTAAATATTGGAAAGATGAATAATCTCGTGTTAACTTCTGTGGAAGTAAAATGTGATGGAATATGTCATTTCAGTAACACTTAAAAGATATATGAAAAACATTCATTGTTCCTCATTTTCCCCTCTTGAAGATATAATAGAAACTCTGTTAACTATACTTAACCATTTCCTATATAAAATTACTTGCCTGAAGCCCAGAAGAGTCTTGGTCAGTAGGCTACATACTAGTACACCCAATCCTAGTGGTGTGCTGGTAAATTTTAACACCTAGCTCTCTTGATTTATAATGTTTGCTGATATCTGTGGTGTAAATATTGCCACCATAGCTGATTTCAAGCTATCAAAGTGAGATCACTGATAAGGAGTTAGGAGAGGATGTATCTAGTTGGCTGTTGTGATCTGATGGGAGCTGGCTCCAGCAACCACTGCCACATTCCCCAGACTGTTTAGGCCAGTTGTAATCTCTGTTGTAGTTATGTGATTGAACTTTAAAAGTTGTATACACTAAGGCAAAAAGTACTTGTTTTTATCAAAACAAAGTTGCACTTCTGAAAAGACTATATAGATGAGAATCTTTTAAAAATGCATAGAAATCAGGTATTGGTGACAAACTTATGATAGATTGGAACAAAAATTGAAATTGCTTTGCAAGTATCTTTAAGTCCTTGTTTTACTTTAAGGAAACCAAAATTAGATTAGTACATGATATGATAAGGTTGTGCTTCATGCTAAAATGATGTGAAATTCTAATTAGCAGACCCTACTCAGAGAAGGCCTTGAAATTATAAATTTAAAAAAATAGTGACTTAATTTATATTTAAACTTTTAAGTTCCTACTTTAATGGATGTTTTCCATTAACTATCAGTTTAATTGTGTTGAATATAAAGTTTTTCAATAGAATACCTCTGACTTTTGTATGCACATTTATTTTCTATTCCAGTTGCCTTTAAACATATTGCTTGAGATGTTAGTAAGAAGCAAAATTTATCAGAACACGTATAATTTAAGAGAGGTCCTTTTTGGTAGAAAGGAAAGCCAGATGCGTAGGCAGTCATTTTAGACAATAAAGGCTAAAATATGAGTTTCTGAAGGACTTTAATTTGCTTGAAACCCCAAGATAGTTTTTTTATCTGAATTATTTTTGTCAATTGGAACATTGAGATTTTTTTCCCAGCTGATTCTCAATCTTGAGCATTGTGGCATGTTGTGAAATTATGGCTTTTGAAGCCTAAACTTTTTTCAACATTCATTATATAAATACTTTTAGAGTAGTGGAAATAATAATTAAGATATATACAATGTCTTTGAATACACAAAGTACATTTTCAAATAGCTGTTAATCTGTAGAATCTGTTCTCAAACCTTTACTTGCAATTCCAAATCTCTTGTTCTACCATAATATATCAGGAAAGTACATGAAGCTATCAATCAAAAGAGCAAATCTCAGTAACTGTGCAAAATAGGAAACAGTTACTATTAACTGTTAATTACAATTAAACAGTTAGAGTTTTTTGGTAATTGTTAAAACAACATATTATTTGAATTTAGTTTTTAACCCTTCTCAATGGTAAACATTTAAATAACCTTATTCTTATGAATAATAAAATAGCACACTTCTTTTTTTTCTTTTTTTTTTTTTTTTGAGACGGAGTCTCGCTGTGTCGCCCAGGCTGGAGTGCAGTGGCCAGATCTCAGCTCACTGCAAGCTCCGCCTCCCGGGTTCACGCCATTCTCCTGCCTCAGCCTCCCGAGTAGCTGGGACTACAGGCGCCTGCCACCTCGCCCGGCTAGTTTTTTGTATTTTTTAGTAGAGACAGAGTTTCACCGTGTTAGCCAGGATGGTCTCGATCTCCTGACCTCGTGATCCGCCCGTCTCGGCCTCCCAAAGTGCTGGGATTACAGGCTTGAGCCACTGCGCCCGGCCTCACACTTCTTAAAATACTATTTTATATGTAGAAAATTTCTACACACTATGTCACATGTTCTGTGATAAAGTTCCTTATTTAGGCTATCACATCTTTTAAGGGTAAATTTTGATCATTCATTTTATTATTGTTAGTATTATTATTATTGTTACTATTTTGAGATAGGTTCTCACTCTGTCACCCAGGCTGGAGTGCAGTGGTCCAATCGCAGCTCAGCGCAACCTGCGCCTCCCCAGCTCAAGTGATCCTCCCATTTCAGCCTCCCAAGTAGCTGGGACTATAGGCGCATATGACCATGCCTGGTTATTTTTTGTATTTTTTTTTTTTTTTTTGTAGAAACTGGGTTTCACCATATTGCTTAGGCTGGTGTTGAACTCCTGGACTCAAGCAATCCCTCTGCTTCAACCTCCGAAAGTGCTGGGATTGCTGGCATGAACCACCATGCCTGGCCTATTATTATTATTAAAATGGGTGAGAAGTAGGCTTGATATGGTCATCTATTTTTGAAACAAGAAAAAAGAATTGTAATTTGTACTGATAAATTTAGAGGGAATAGATGTTTAAAAAGAATAAAAAGGCTGCTTGTGGTGGCTCACACCTATAATTGCAGGTGGACTTTGGGAGTCCAAGGCAGGTGGATCACTTGAGGTAAGGAGTTCGAGACCAGCCTGGCAATAGTGAAACCCCATCTCTACTTAAAAAAAAAAAAAATATATATATATATATGTATTTATATATATATATAAAAAATTAGCTGGATGTGGTGGTGTGTACCTGTAATCCCAGCTACTCGGGAGGCTGAGACAGGAGAATTGCTTGAACCTGAGAGGTGGAGGTTGCACTGAGTCAAGATTGTGCCACCGCACTCCAGCCTGGGCGACAGAGTGAGACTCCGTCTCAAGAAAAAGGAAAGCTTTTATTTTTAAGAGGTAATAATGCCTAAAATGGAAATTACCTAAGATTTCTAGTAATTAAAGAAATAGTACTTCTTGGCAGATAGAACTAAATATATTCCTTTTGAAGCTTTAAGACAAAGTTACATTCTAATCCATAATAGTCCCAAATACACATGTCATTTTATAAGAATTTTTTTTTGAGAGCTGAAAAAAATGTTTTTGAGGTATGCTTTCTATGAGATGAAGGTTGTTTTTAAATTTGATTGCCACTTCATAGTATATCAGAACTTATTGGATCAAAGTACTTAAATTCATATGTTGAAAGTCAAACCAAACTAAAATAATTAATACATATGTTTCTGAATATTTGGAGATTTGCTGCTGGGCTTTAGGATAATCATTTTACTGAGAGTACTTATCTTACAATCTTTATACTGTATGATCCAGAATAGTTATTTTGATAATTCTCACCTTCGAGTTGAAAATCAAATTCTAATTAATTTTTTTTCCAAAGACAGTTTTCTTAAGGATTGCATGTGTTCAGGAAGGAAAAGCAAATTTTCCAGTTTAAATAAAGATTGTTTTAAACTGATCAGAAAATGTGAAAGTAAGTTTTATCATAAATGGTGATTGCATATTTTTCTTTATATGCAAAATTAGTTCTAATTCACGCAGGAAATAGAAACATTCTGCCTACACTTGCATTGAAGCTTATCCCTTTAATTCAGAGTGATTTAACATTGGCTGTCTGAAAAAAAATGCAGATATCTTATTTTTAATAGGTGTCACATTATCAGTGGCTTTCCATTAGAAAAGAAAAATCCCTCAATTTGGTAAAAAGCATCTTAGTACCTGGCTGGTAGAACCTCATTTGCAAGCCCATTATAGCCTTGATAAGAGTCTGCAAACATGTCTTTGAGCCGCTTAAGTTAAAAATAAATATTAAAAACCTTATTCTAATAGAAAATTAGTTGAGATTTTTAAAGTGCATGAAAAGCAAATGATTTGCTACCGTTTTTTGCTACGTTCTTAACTGTGCATCAATAAATGTAAATATGTGAGGATAATTTAAATATTTTTCAATTTAAACCTCACTTGGTTTTCCTTACTTAAAAACCATTACATTTTGTAAACACCTAACAAATGTTGAGTTTTCATTAATAATCATGATTTGTTAGGAATATACATGAACTGTTTAATAGGAATTGTTAACTGAACCAGCTTACCTCCTCTCTCAACCTAGAGACTAGAAGGATTTAAATTCTAGCTGTGTGATCTTGAGTAAATTATTTGGGGTTAGCAAATAGTTGTTTCAGGAGAAACACTTGCAGTTTCTACTAAACCCTAGGTGTCCAATTAAATGGCACTTCAAGTTAACAAATCTAGTGGTCATTGTTCGGTCCTTGTCTTACTCTCTCAGCGGTATTGGACACAGTTGATTACCCTCTTTTTTTGAAAATTTTGTTTCATCTCTTGGCTTCTATGACACAGTGGCTCTCTCACCTCACTGGCTATTTCTAACAAATCTTTAAAATCTGACATCTTGAATTATGTGAGTGCCCCAGGGCTTGGTTCAGGGCTGTCTTCTGTTTCTTTACTGTCTACCTAAGTAACAACTTCCAGTCTCAAGTCTTTAAGTGGGATCGTGACTTTAAATTCGTTACTCCCTACTTTTAGCTCTAGCCCTCTAAATTCTGTGCTCGTGTATAGAACTGCCTGTTTGACATCTCTACTTCAGTATCGATTTGAATAGAACTTCTGAATCAGAACTCTTAGTTGCCTAGTCCTAAACTTCTCTTCTCTTAGTCTTTCTTCTTATTGTAAGTGGCACCACAATCCCCCATCTATTTAAGTTCAAGTTCACAACCTAAAAATTATCTTTTAATTCTCTTTCTTCACCTTCCACATCCTATACATCATCCAGTTGTGGGAGCTCTACCCTTATAGTGGTTCTTGAATTCACTAACTTCTCTCTACAGTTGTTTAGCCTCCATTATCTCTTACCTGGACTATTGCAGTAGCTTCCCAACAGGTATCTCTGCTTCCATTCTTGGCACTCTCTAATTTACTTAACAATGGCAGGTAAAATAATTTTTCTAAAAAGAAAATCAGAGGATTGAAAATTACAAATATGAAATAAATTTAAAACATTACACTTTGATAGACTTTTAAAAGACCTCATTTTATTAATTTTTAAAACTTGAAATGTTTTAAAACTTGTCATGTTTTCCATGATCATTATACTATAAAAAGAAATCTCAATAAAATAGCAAATACTCAGAAGCAAAATAAAATTCATTTTAATAGGTGGATAACACCACTGCATTAGAAGGATATATATCAACTAATATTTTTTCTTTCAATCCACAATTCAGTGGAACTAGAACATTTTCATCACCCCAGAGGAACTTAATGTTAATATTTTTGCTTTTACTCTTAAGTGTATCTTGGAAAATTTTCAGCTTGTGGAATTTGCTAGGTAACTTAAAATGCTGAGCTATCTATAGAAACTTCTTTACGCCAAGTTTACAGAATGTGTTAAATGCCTGAATAATTTTAGATTAATAGGATGTTTTATGACCCAGTTGTATGCACACATTTACAGTTTACTTTAAAAGAACACAAATACAGACAATTTGGGTCAGATTATGATGTACAGTAGCAGCAGTAACATGAACAGTAATAGTAATATTATACCAACAGTTATGTATTAATGAATGCTATAATACTAATAGCAGAATATTTATTTAGCATTTATTATGGGTAATCGTTTCGTTGTTATAAAAAATAAACATTAGATATGTAAACATTGAGATATGTATATTCTTTGTTTAAAAAACATAGAGAAAGAATGAAATGAAGGGAATCTGACAAAGTTACAGGGTGCGAATGGGCAATTAAAAGAATTTTCTAATGTAGAAATATTTTGAATCTTTATGAAAGATGCATTATTTTCATAATTATAATTGAAGATAAATGTCAAAGACTTGTGCAAACCGGAATCAGTGGTTTTAAGTAGGTTTTTTTTTCCTTAGTGTTGTAGAAATAACAGTAGCCTCATGGACCAGTAGAGGGCATGATCTTCCTATGGTAGACTTCAGTTTTCAAATGTCATCTTAAAGACATACTAAGCAAAGTGTACTACTCCTTGCTTAAATCGTAGCCCTCCAGATGTCATTGTAGAATTACTCTATTAATTTACTTTTCTTTATTTCTTAAATAAACATAAACAATCATAAACTCTCAGCACACTTCATTTTTACTTTTTGTCTTCTCTTTGTGTTGACTTTGAGCAGTCAAAAGCAAATAGCTTCATTTGGAGGAGGCATTCCTCTGAAAGGATACACTAAATGCCTGGCAAATGCTGTCCATATCATGGACAGTATCTAAAGTGCTGAACAAAGACATTTTCTTGATCTGTGCGTGGCCTTGAATTTAAAGTGAGAAAAGTGGGTTAAGCCGTTTGTGTGAGCTACAAAATGTTATTTCAATGAAAACAAAAGGATTGAATTTGTAGATGTTAAGACGAAATTAAAAACTTACTTTTTTAGGTATAAAGCTTCTCATATTGATTTCTATAGGCCCTTACTATTATTCAGAACATGATAGGTTTTGTTGTTTTTGTTTTTGTTTTTTTTGAAAAAAATGTTGTAAAGACACGGATCTCACTGTGTTGCTTAGGCTGGTCTCAAACCCCTGGCCTCAAGCAATCCTCCAGCCTCCACCTGCCAAAGTGTTGGGATTACAGTTGTGAGCCATGCTGCCCAGCTAACATCATGTTTTAGATAGTCAAAGTTTTGCCACCTAACAGAGAAATAACACCACCAAATCCAATATACTGCAAACTAAATTATATATTTTTAAATCAATATTTCTACTATTGCTGAGATATTTCTGCTTTTACAGAATTTTGAAATTTATTATTCACTTATGATTTGGCAGTGACTGGTATATATTTCCCCCCTAGTATAAGAAGCATCGCTCTTCTCATGCACATACCAACAACTTTGCAAAGTCCGTGGTCAACCTTGTGGATTCTGTAAGTATCCCAGTTTTCTTGAATTTGTTTGCCAAGATGGAATGGTTTATCTCTGTTTGCTTACTTGTACTTTTGGTATTTCTTGAGCAAATTTAAAAATACAATCCTGAAACTCATCTGGCTAAGGAATTATAGGATGGTCCACTTGACAGAGTAGTGCTCTGAGAGTTTCAGATGACTGAGTTATTCCCAGAATCCCAAAGGTACATTAGTGTTGCTTCTAAGTCATGTCTGTACATTATTGCCCCCAACCTATGGAGGACAAAAACAGTGGAGAAATAGCTACCAAAATCTATTTGCTATTATACTTGGCAAATGAGACTTTTTAAAGAAACAATTGGGCTTTTCTTAAATATATGGTGGTAACAATGGATTGAGACGGAGTATGTTTGGAGAATATAGGTAATACAAAAAAAAATTTTTTTAAGGACACAAATATATTTTCTTAGTGTTCCCATTGATGTGATGTTTCACACTTGATTTCTAGATGATGGAAATAAGTGCAGTCCCCAAATACAACTAATTTGGAATAATAAAGTATAATAACAAAGACTTCTAACTGTACAAATCTTTAATATTGATATGTTTTCCTCCTTATTTTGTGAATTACAGAAAATGGTTAAGGTTTTCTTCCTTTTTCCTGTCTTAGGTTAGAACTCTATAGATATGAACATTATACATTATGTTCCAATGAATAATTCAGTTGACTAGTCAGAAATTAAATATAGAATACTACTTCATATGTTGTAATATAAAGTGCTATTTTGCTCAGCTAAATATATTTTTATCTGGTATTTTATTGTGTGTTCCCTCTTAAATGGGGGAAAAAACCCACCATTTTTTATAAATTGCCAAATATCTAAATGATATTTATTTACTCCAAAGAGCTGCCTTCTTTTCTGCCTTTTAAGCAGTCCACAAACCTCCAATCATGTAAATACTCATAACACACATATGTTATGTACCTGGTGGGCACAGCTGCACAAAAGTATAACATGAGTGGATGTACATCGAGTATCTCATATAGAGTTAGGATTGTACCTCAGAGCCAATTTACACCCCATTTATTAATTTTCTTTAATTTCAGCTCTTGTCTGTCTTCTCAGAGGAAAATCACAAGTGAATATGGAAAAGAGAATCTTAAACACATCTTTTCCCCTGCAAAAGCTGTTTACTTGGTAGCATCTCTGAATTAGTTGTTTCAAGATGATTGAATAGAATCATGTCATGCAAAGTGTAGTTTTTATTTTGGGTGACCATATAAGGTTCTGAAACTGACCATTGATTTTTAAAAGACATTACATTTAACCTGTTTTTGTTGTAAAGTCATTATATAATAGCTTCAATTTGATTTAGGCATAATGGTGTTCCCCTTCTTCAGTGTGTTCAAAGATCATCCATCTTTTTTTTTTTTTTTTTTTTAAGACGGAGTCTTGCTCTGTCCCCCAGGCTGGAGTGCAGTGGCACGATCTTGGCTCACTGCAAGCTCTGCCTCCCAGGTTCACACCAATCTCCTGCCTCAGTGTCCGGAGTAGCTGGGACTACAGGCGCCCGCCACCACACCTGGCTAATTGTTTTGTATTTTTTAGTAGAGACGGGGTTTCACCGTGTTAGCCAGAATGGTCTCGATCTCCTGACCTTGTGATCCGCCTGTCTCGGCCTCCCAAAGTGCTGGGATTACAGGCGTGAGCCACCAAGCCCGGCCCATTGTTTTCTTAATTAGTTTGAAAATAGGGCAAAATGACAGCATTCATTGAAGTGGCTTAATTGTGTGAATTGTTTAGCTACTGGGCCAAAAGTAGAAACAGAGCAGGAAGGGAACAATTTAAATATTGTGGGTGATGCCACCCTGTGGTGAGGATGAGATGAGTGATAGGGATCTGCTTTTTTTTAGCTTGAGATCATTGAGTCTCTCTCTCAATCTCTCCCAGTGCTATTTTACTTTTCATATAATATGACCTCCAAGGGCATGCCAGCTATATTGTTTGGTGCTTATCTGGAGATTTAGTGATCCATGCCAATCCAGCAGGAATAAATGGTTGCACTGCACTTACTCAGAACTGGTATATCAGGCTCCAACCTGTTACCTGATATGAGATTTGAAAGGGTGATTTTATGAACGATGTTTTAAATTTATGTCCTGGCTTTAGAATCCTTACTGTCTCTCCCTAGGATGGTGAATGTATTGCTCTGGGATCAAAATAACCCTGTAGGAGAGTTGAAACCAAATTGTGTGATTGTTCTTTCTTTATTTTTGCTCTTGGAAAAAAGAAAGGAAAAGAAGATTCTATATATCGGGCTAATGATGACCCCATGTTCTCCTCTCACCTCCCCCTTCCTGTCCTTCCACTGACTCTGACTCACTGATCGTGCATGTTTGACCCAGTGTTTTCCTCCTGCACCTGTCCTGTTGTATACCCTCAGATTTACAAGGAGCAGCTCAACACCAGGGTTGTCCTGGTGGCTGTAGAGACATGGACTGAGAGGGATCAGATTGACATCACCACCAACCCTGTACAGATGCTCCATGAGTTCTCAAAATACCGGCAGCGCATTAGGCAGCATGCTGATGCTGTGCACCTCATCTCGTATGTACTCATTTCAGCCTTTATTGTAGTCTTTGGTCTGACATTTGTCCTTATCCCTTTTTTGGTTCAGTTAAGTTAAATATCAGAAAATAGTGACTTGAACAAGATTGCTGTGGGTTCCTTTGTCTGTTAGATAAGAAGCATGGAGTTAGGATATCCGGTGCTGGGGTGCTGATGGTTCTGTAGTCATAATATCTACCTTTAGAGCCCATAACTTCCATCCTGAAGGTCAGCTCACAGTCTAGGATGCCTGCTGGCCCTCCAGCCTTCATTACTGGCAGCGGGCATGACATGTCGGGAGAAGGACAAAAGGGTACTCCTTCCAGCCGAGCTGACTGCTGTAAAGCAAGTTTCCTGAAAGCTTGCACATGTCTGTTTCATGAACAAATCATTTGCTAGGTGGCAGTCACATGGGCCACACCTAGCTACAAGAGAGGCTAGCAAATGTAGTCCTTTTAGATGAACCATTCAGTTGAGTTTCTACTACCAAGGAAAAGGGGTTCCATACTTTCTTTTTAATATAATAAGCTATTCTCTTCCTCAATCATGGCAAAGCTATTTTCAGATAGTCCTCTAAGGTTCTGTCCTGGAATGAAACCAACCAAACTACTCCTTCTTTTTCTCCCACCGTTACCCTTTACTTCCTGTTTTTTCAATCTTTAATCAGCAATTTTTAATAATCAGCAATATTAATTCCCTTTAATCACTATTAGATATTCGCTACTAGAAAAAAGTCAAGAGCTGTGTCTGTTTATCTTGGTGTTTTTAATTCCTGTGCTAGTACATGATGCTTAGTAGGTACTTGGTGCTTGCTCAATTGAAATTATTTAACATAACAAATTTAAAGGTAATTATGTCATAAATTTTAAGGTATTTGGAATACAGTTTTTGATTTCTTGGAGGAGGATGTTTTGGGGGTGTTCCGTGTAGGAGGGTAGACATATTTTGGGAGAGTATGAAATGATGGTCCACCACGTTGGTTTTCTCATAGCACTGCTTTTTCTTAAGGCGGGTGACATTTCACTATAAGAGAAGCAGTCTGAGTTACTTTGGAGGTGTCTGTTCTCGCACAAGAGGAGTTGGTGTGAATGAGGTAAATTTTACCAATTAAAGTAGAGCTTCATCTTTGTTCTCTTTTTTCCCTATGGCCCAGTTTACATCCTTTCTTGTGCTTGTTTAGAATGATGACATGGCAAATGTAGCATGAGTGGCTTATGTTATTAATAAATAGAACCCAATGTGGTCCTTTTGGTTCATAGTGATGTATTTTGGTATCATAATGACAATTTTTCCTATATATCAGGCAAATGCAGCTGAAGATTGGCCTAGAGACTTTTAGGCCTCTATAGATGAAGATGTTAAGTTCTTATAAGCTTATTAATCCTTCCTTGACTTTTTTTTGTTATAATGCTCCTCTGTCCATGTTAAATTTAACTCATTAAAATCAAAGGATTTCTGATATCAGTACTGTAGCTTTTTTTCTCCCTATGTATATGTTTTCATTTTCATGTCTTCTACCTACCTATCTGTAGAATGAACTCAAACACCTACTTCCTTAATCTCATTGTTTCGATTTTAATACTTTCAGTTTTATAAAGGAAATTCTTAATTGGTAACAGCACCAAAAAAGCATACCCAACTATATCTAAACTCTTGTCAATACTGGAATATATTATACCAGGTTATCTCAGTAGCCTACAATTAGCCTGGAATAATATTGGAGTATATTATACCAGGTTATCCCAGTAGCCCATTTAGTGGGTACCTCTCTTGACATATTTTAGTAAGTTGAATTTATTCTTAGTTTGGTATAAGTTGAATTGGAGCACAGCCTTTTGTGACTTGTATTTTATGTTTCAATGTGAGAGCTTCAAATTCTGAGAGATATCACATAGTAAGAGGGGCTTTCTGCTTCTTGGGCCCAGTTGTAAAGAGGAGGGGCGAAGTAGCATATGCCATCTTTAGATACTGACAGGTTCTTCTTAGGGAACTGAGAAGATTTGTGGTAACAATTAAGAAATAATAACTAGCTTTGTGCACTCTCTCAAATGTCTCCCACACACTTTCAACTCTGAAAAACAGTATGGTCTTCCAATGGCAGTGGCACAAGTATTATCGCAGAGCCTGGCTCAAAACCTTGGAATCCAATGGGAACCTTCTAGCAGAAAGCCAAGTATGTACATTGACCTTCTTACTCACTTTCATGTGCCATTCTGTCTGTATAATGCATGTCCAGTCAGTAAATAAATATTTTTCATTCCAGTCATTATAGTTTAATTGTAGGATATCTCCTTCCTCTAAAATATTTAGAAAATAAGCAACTTAAGGTAATTTTTAATTTGTTTAGGTTGTAAAAATTTCCCTTTCAAAATGCATAAAATCATACACAGTTTCTCTGGGAATGAGTCAGCTCTTTCTCACACTGCAGAATGCGGGGATGGGAGCAGGGAATACTCTCACGCTCGGGGTTCTAGCAGCTGAGCAGACACACAAGGTGCTAGATTAAGCTCCATCACAAGCTTAATAAGTTCACATTTGGATTGGGAAATAGCTTAGATCTAGAGTCAAAGAGAGCTCATCTTTAAACTCTAATGAAAGTTACCCACCTAGTCCCATCAGAAAAGTTGGAGAAAAAGGCTTTGCAAGGGAAGACCCTGCCCCAGGGCTTTTTAAGCCTGGAAACAGGCGCTAGAGGATAGGATTCTCCTCTAGTGGGCCAGGCAGGTCCAAAAAGGAGAGCAAATAGGGCCACACATCCCACCCGTAAAAAACATAGCTGGTGACTCTTAGGTATGACTTTTTCATTAATCAGATGAGAGGTAGATAGAAAAAGCTAATTTTCTAGTGGGCAAAGGGTCTAGGGCTCACAGTAATTTGAAGGGTCCATGAAAAATGTTAATTTCTTTTAAAATCAGAATAAAATTCAACCCAGATTGTATTTATCTTTATACCAACGCAGTGGTAAAATATAATTTTTAATACATTTTTGTGGCAGCGGACAATGACCTAATGCAATCCTGTGAAAAGAGAGACCAATGTGTTCACTCATATTATTCACTTAACTAGAAATTAGGTGAAAGTCCCTTCATATTTTTTGAAAATATGAGACACTGGGAGTAAAGGTCTCGCTTGTCACCCCAACCTCACCAGAGAAGAAAAGGACAAAATCTACCTTAATATTATTCTGTATTTTATATTCTTTTTTCATTAATGCATAATATTGTGGAAAATTGAAACAAATTATATATACACAGGCTTCTCAATTCCCTTTATGGGTACATTAAGATAGTCATCACAAGTGTCTGGTGGCATTTCACAAACCTCTGCAAACTTCCATTGACTATCTTGCTCAGACTGTTTGCTTTCCCAGGAAACACCTAGTACACATTAAAGGAAGTGTTGAGAGTTTCACCATCTGGCATATTCACCTTAAAACCAGAAAGGTGTATGACCAGGTTTATGCCCTTGTTTAGAAATCTTGGATCTGGAAAGAGGCCAGTGCTAGAGTCAGCTGAGAGGTGTTACTGAGTTGCATGGTGAAATGGGGTGAGAAGTAGAGTTCATTACTAATGCCTGCCATAGTTCCCTCCTTCCTAAAATTCTTTATTTCTTTGTGACTTGTTTGTTTAGGTAGCTATTTCATTGGTTCTAAACTGAGTTTTAAAAATCCATTTGGAAGCCTATCTTTGCATATACCTCTCTCTATATATACATCGATATATATCACTCTCTCTGTCGAGATATATACATATATATAGAGAGAGTGAGAGATGTATAGAAAGGAGAAATAGGAAAAAATTAATGAAGAGCAGAGCCCATCACAATATCAGTATGTCAGTCTCTGGTATCGAAGTTAAGTTATAAATGTTTTTAAGTGATTATGTACACTTCTGTTTTAGATTGCTCTCTTTTACTAAACCTTTTAGCATAGTGTTCATTCAGGTCTCTTGTTCATCCTCACATAAACTCTTACAAATTGAATTCTCTTCTCTACGAGCATTCTCTGTTAGAAAACTTCAGTGATGATCCGTTGTGTTTGTACAACACAGCTTTATAATTCACAGAGAGCACATAGGTACACCATCTAGTGTGAACCCCACAACCACTCTGGAAGATAGACAAACAGGTGTTATTCCCATTTTAGAGGCAGAAACACTGAGACCCAGGAAATGCTAAGTTACTTGCCTGTGGGACTCTCTCATATGACAGAACTTGGGCTAGAATTCAGGCTTTCCGATTTGTAGACCAGCGTACTTTTCACTAAACGTCGGAACTAGGAACCGAATTGAGTTGTCAGAGTTACAAAAATAATGAAGAGAGGCACAGTTTTATTTCTTGCCAGCTGTTTTCTTAGGAAGTAACCTATAATTCTGGAAAGGATAAGGAAATATTGATTTAAAAGAAATAAATTTTGTTCTGTAAGACTTCACATTCCTTGTCTATTTGACTGACATGGAATTGGTAATAAAGAATTATTATAGGAGTTATAATACCAATTAAATATGTGACTTTCTTTGTTTCCTTTTTCTTCTGTTGCTTTTATTGTTTTATTGGACCAGAATGTGACTGCACAGAATCCTGGGGCGGCTGCATCATGGAAGAAACAGGGTAAATTTTCATTATGCGTGCATTTGATATATGCCTTTTGTAAAATTGCTGCGTAGAATTAGAAACAAGGTCTCTCGGGTATTGGTCTTTCAGGCTAAGCACAATATAAAATCAATAATTAGTTGTCTGATATTTTTAAACTGAAAGAGCTAATTCACTTTATATTTTAATTTTTTATTTAAGGTTGGTGATAAAAGTAAAATGTATTAACTTGTACTTCTTATTAACCCTTAAAGGAAGCACATGATTAAAGGCTTCTAAGTTTAGTGGAGGCATTAATTTTTTAGTACACTTAGATTAAAAGCTGGTTGTCTACCTGAAGCGGTCAGTGAAATCAATTTAGTCATCAATTTACATTTTAAAGAACTCATAAATATATATGTTTACAGTAATAAAAATTATACTATACTGTTTATAAATCAATAAAACTTTTTAAAAATTAAGACAGACTCACCGTGTCTAAATCAGGTAGTCTTCTAGTGATCGACATTTGAACATTCCCTCACTTTTCTTTTGTGAATACTTTGGGAACTAGAGCAGCTTCCCCAGAGCTGCTGTTGATTCAATGAACCAAGGCCTGGAAATATTGCCCTCTTTCCCAGGGACCCCTGCCTCATGGGAGCCACTGCCCCCAGGCCCCCTAAGCCATAACCTACTCCTAGTAGAGGGGAGAGGTTTACTCACCTGTGTGCCTCTTTTGCTTTCTTTGCCATGCCAGACACCTGCTCAACACACCAACCATTTCTGGTCCTACCTGCATTCCTCTGAGCCCTGGTTGCTCAAGGCCCTGACCTACTTGGACAGAGTCCCATTGTTTCCTTCTACCAGCCCTCCTAGGAGTCCAACTCCTGGGGAGGAGTGTGGGCATGAAGGTTTGCACAGTAGGCCATTATCCCTGCTACTTTAGAATGCATTTCTAGAAATAGAGTTTAAACGTGAAACCCTTAGCTTCCACGGTTCCCTTACTATTACTCCATAGCTTAGTAATTTATGGCTTAACCAGGCTTTTCTGAGGACTGCTATAAGAAGGTAACACTTATAATATTGGCTCTATAGGGAGATGTCTTCTGTCTTCTAAATTAATCTCTGGGTTTTTTTATAGTGTCTCTTCATAATATATATGAAATATATAAAATATTTTAAATGAGATATAAGAAAATGTTTTAAAGTAAATATATATTTTCCCAAGAATATATTTCTATATAGTTTTTCTAAGAGGTTCCTATCAAAAGTGGCAGGTTTTACCTACTTCTGTAAACTACCTTCATACATCAGAATGCATAAAATTATTGAATTGCTTCCTAGAATAAGTGGCCTGTCACTCGCAAGTTCAAGCACTGTTACAATCACACACTGTATTCCTGAGGAATAGGTGTGTGTGTGTGTGTGTGTGTGCGTGATTCAGTTTAACCGTAACCATGTGTATAATATTCCCCTGTGTTCTTACATAGAGGTATTATATTTGATTAAGTAATTCACAGAGAAGCTCATTTTCTATTCCTGATTAATAATGAATATCACCAAATAGATTTGAAATTGAGAACAAAGAGCTATTATTCATGGGAGCATACCCTAATTCTATTGTCACTGTGCATATACATACTAAAAACATATGTACATATACATGTATGATCTAATACAGCTCTTTAGGGTTTCCTTGTTTACCTAAATTGCATTGTTGGCCTGCATGATACAGTCTTTAATAAACTGGCCCTCACAACTCTCTCCTCCAATGTAAAATCTAGTAAGTTCATGAGCTCCTTTTATTCAGAACAGAGGCAAAAAAAAAAAAAAAAAAAAAAAAATGCTTGACTTTAATGCGATATAGCAAAGAAAAATGAACAAACTTTAAAATACAGCCTATTTGAAGAAGTTTTGTAATGAGCTTTTTAAAAACCATTTCAAGCCTGGTCACAAAAGGGCTTGACTGCTGAGGAGGTTGTAACATAGCCCTCAAATCTTTGATTTTCTTTGAATTTCCATCTCTGCAAACTCCACCACATATACTTAAGTGGCAATTTGAACATAAATGCCTTGTCAAAATTTGTGTAGATTCATTTGGATCCAAAGTGAACATTTTGTTCCAATTTAGGGGTTTTAATTTTCTTCTCTGATGATTGCTTTTGGTAAATTATTTACATAGCGGATTCTTTGTCTCCTCAGGGTGTCCCATTCTCGAAAATTTTCAAAGTGCAGCGTTTTGGAGTATAGAGACTTTTTACAGAGAGGGGGTGGAGCCTGCCTTTTCAACAGGCCAACAAAGGTTAGTAACTTAGAAAGTTTACTAAGAAAGTATATTATTTCTCCAGTGTTTTATAATGGAACAGTGCTGGATATCAGATGCCTGTCTTGGAAAGCAGGTTTCTTGTCAGTCAGATTAATGTTTAGTTATAAAAGTCCTTATCATGTTAAAGATTGAGTCCTGTTTAAGTTAATGACAAAACCATGGATTCAGTGTTCTTGGTCTCTGGTTTTTCAGTGCTAGCTAGAACTCAAAAATCCTCCCTTCCAAAAAGCAAACAATCCTTCAATTAAAATATCTTTGAGATTTTCTTGTTAAGGTTTTCACCCTGCTGCTAAGAGATGGTGGGTTAAATTAAGATAAAATATTATTTTAATCAATTTCTCTGATAAAAATTCCATTTCTCCTTGACATTCTTTCTAGGGACAAGTATTAGTCCATTTTCACACTGCTATAAAGATACTACCTCAGACTGGGTAATTTACAGACAAAAGAATTTTAATTGACTCACAGTTCTACATAGCTAGGGAGGCCTCGGGAAACCTACAATCATGGTAGAAGGTAAAGGGGAAGCAGTCACCTTCTTCACAAGGTGGCAGGAGAGAGAGAAAGAGCTTGAGGAAGTGCCATACTTTAAAACCATCAGCTCTAGTGAGACTCACTCACTATCATGAGAACTGTATGGGGGAAACCACCTCCATGATTCAGTCACCTCCTGTCAGGTAGATTCCTCCCTCAACAGTGGAGATTAGAACTCAAGGTGGGATTTGAGTGGGGACCCAGAGCCAAACCATGTCAGGGCCTAACTGATTTCTTGACTTTTTTGAGTGGTTTGTCCTCCTGGGACATTAGTTCCTTGTAAATATCAGCCAGACAAAAAATCACCCAAGGTATTTATGGTTACCATAAATACACGTATGTGTTTATAATGCATTGTCTCTTTACCTGGGGAGGGCCACATTGTCAATTGGCATTTCATCAAACTTTGTCTATATAGTGTCACACTCCTTTATTCACGTATTCTTAATTCAGAAAATGGAAAATTTTCAGAAGTGTTTTTTATGTTTGTGGAAAACACATTTGACAGTAAAACTTGTTCTAAACTGAAAAATATTTATACCTCATAAGGTAAATATTCATAAGTCTTGCTGCAGAAATATTAACGGATTATAGTATATGTCCCAAGCCCCTCAGGACTATTACATAGAATATGGTAAATGCATCATACTTCTCTAAACTTCAGCAAAGCTGGAAGTCTCAAACTCACTGGCTTCAAAGCTTTTGCATAAATCGGGGCTGTAGACCTGCAGTAGCATGTTTGGAAACGAAGCCGCTCAGCAGGCAAAAGATAGGATCAATGCTAATTAGCAGATGGTATAGAAATTCTAACATGGCAAATTTCGTATTTCTTTTTAAGATACTACTTCATGAGTCAAATATAGCTCATTGCTGTGCAAAATGTTTAATACTGTGCAAATTGAGAGAGCAGCGAAATAATGTTAACCTTTTTTTTTAAATCAGTAACTAATGTGGTAACTGACAGGATAATTTATTCCTAAACCCATAATTCAGCAACACTACGTAGTCAGGAGATGGTAGCTTGATGCCCGACATGTGTGTAAAATCTCAGTACGGCTGTGGAAAAAGAAACAGGACTTTTAAAGTGACCTTACATCGTTAAAGTCAGTTGCCTGCCTTTCATAACATTGATCTCAATGCAACGGAAATCCAAAAGCTTCAAAGTGTTCAAAATGGATGAAATAAGTAATAATGAACTAATGTGAGCTGCTGGCATTTTTGAATTGCACGGTACATGGCTAATTTTACCCACCTTGCAGCTTGCCAGCTAATTATAAGCATCATGCCTGAGGAAACAACTCTCACTTGTTTGGAAAGGTTAAGGTTTCTAGCATATGCGTAAGGATCTGTCAGTGGATTTCTGAAATTGTCTGTGAGTTAGGAGAAAATTATTCCAATAAGTTGGAAATGAAATAAAAATAACTATAAATTGTCTGTTTTAAAAGTTAGTAAATACGGAATTATGTCTTTTTAAACTACCTAGTACAATGGTTAATAAACAACTGTGGATTCCGGTGGAATAGTTTATATGTATGTATCAAAGAAGTGACTTTTTCCCCCAAGCATTTTGAATGTATGTATATGCATGTGTTGTGTGTGTATTATTTTTACACTATATCTGTGCATATTTTCTGTGCTTTGGGAATCTTCCCCACTGCCATGTTTTCCACATGGTTAGATAGTGACCCATCTCAGGATGGAGGCAGCGTCCTAAGAAGGAAAGAACGGGAGCCTGGTATAAAGTGCAGGCCATGTTCTAGTCAGTCCTTCCCTTTTCCAATGTCTCCTGCCTCCTGATCAAAATAACACAGAGATATGCAATGCTCATTTTACTCATAGGACATTTCCTCGAGGGGAGTCCCACCCAAGTAGCCTGGAAACCTTTACTTTTCATAATAGTTTTGCCTTCCTGGAAGTGGAAGGAGGATCAGTTCTTTCTCAGGTGAATTTAGTGGAAGGCAACCCTTCCTTGAGGTGTGTTCAGCTGCTGCGGATGGAGTCAGTTTCTGCCTGTCATATTCAGGGCTCAGACCATTTGGGTTGTAATGTGCTGCTCCAGCCTTCCTTTAAGGTGTGATGATTATGCCCAGAGAAATCCTGTCCCCCTCCCCACCACCCCTGGAATGGGAAGTAGGCATGCTTCTCATAAACAGTCAACTACCTTTACGGTTGCTCTATAATATAGTTTATCTGGCAAGCAAGGTCATGGCACCAGTAGACTAGATTATTCTAGAAATTGTACTCTTCTATTGCCCTAGGAATGACTGAGAGATTTCTATGTATCCATACATGTGTCTTATGCTTTCAGACACTTGGGATTTCTTTCCAGTGGAATGATGGGCTTGGATTTCTAGCAACATTTTTTCCCCTATGTTTACTTGCGTTTACTTGATTGTACATACCACGTTTGGCTATGACTGAAGCATATTTATCTTTTTGACAGTTTTTATGGCTTCTCAGCTGTCTTGAGACAAGTCAGCAAATTAGATATCCGTGATTCTTATTAGCAATGCATTTTAGCTCCATTAGCAAATATGAAAAGTGATCTATTCCTCTTGACAGCTTATCTCCATAAAAAGTAACTCTAATGCTAGAGGTCATCTCTGGAGCCCACGGCCAGAGAATCCCCCAAGAGATATCGCCCCATTTCAGATATATTTTTTAAGTGCTATTAATAAATGAACAGTATTTCCCATAGTCATCATTTATAAAATGCCATAACAACAGATCATAGAAGAATATCACATGATAGCTGATTATACGGCCCTTGTATGTGACCTGGTTGATGTGCTGATTTTCTGTGATAAATTGAAAAATTTTTCCCTTCTCTCCCTAATCTCTTTAGCTATTTGAGCCCACGGAATGTGGAAACGGATATGTGGAAGCTGGGGAGGAGTGTGATTGTGGTTTTCATGTGGTAGGTATAAGAAACCTTCTATACTTACAGCACAGATCTTGCTTGGTGCAAACAGATATAGCATTCGTGAGAGGCCAGCTCATTGATTGTGGTCTTGCTGCCTTTCTTTCTCATCTCTCTGATTAGTGCTTAATTCAGCTCAGGCACGTTAGAATTAGTCATGTCCTTATGGCCTTGTCTGAGCAAACCTAATGGATTCTTCTGATTGAATTCCCTACCTCTTAAAAATTTATAGCTCATATTCATCTAAGTTTTACCAAATCATAAAACATTCTTTCTGTGTTGTGTATTATTTTTATCTTTATAAAATAGATTGGGCATTAGAATGTAGTGGAGCTAACTGGAGGAGAATTGCCTGCTAAAAATTAAGCTTTCTCTTTGGTATTGAAATCCTTTCATAGAAAATCTTACTTTGCTAAGAAGTATTGCAGGAAGGAATCTATCCTTGTTTAAAGTAATTAATTATTTCCCAGAGTATTTGCTTACTATTGTATAAATGTACTCATTTGGAATATGCATGCCACGTGTGGAGAGAAAATGACTGACCAGCTGGTAAGGCTCTTCGCTTACTCACGTGAAGTGTTTTCTCTAGGAATGCTATGGGTTGTGCTGTAAGAAATGTTCCCTCTCCAACGGGGCTCACTGCAGCGACGGGCCCTGCTGTAACAACACCTCATGTCTTGTGAGTGTTCTGACAGTTTCATCTTTCTTTTAACTGACAGATTAGCCAGATATCTCAGTGTGTACACTGAGCATTTGTATAGCTTGTCACAAATTTCTTGGGTACAGTGTACATATTAGCCTGGCAGTTTTATAGAATCGATAAATCTCAAATTCTGTGAGCCGCAACATTTATCTCTACTATTATTCACTACCAACCGTCTTATCCTGCAATGCCTCATTAAGAAAATATACCTAAACTGCTTCCAAAAGAGTTGCCCTACTAACACAGATGAAATCCATATTAAATTGTTAAATAGAGGAGGGACAATTTCTGTGGTCTTTTTAATAATATGACCTACTTATAACATTTTTCTTCAAAACGTACCCTAATTTATTTTAGACCTGAACATAAAAGCTAGTGCTCATATTTTCCCATTGGGTTTAAAATCCCCTGTAAAGGCAAGAAAGTGAGATAGGAAAGTAACATCTGAATGCATACTCATATGTGTATATACACAGTTTTTGTGTGTGTGGGCATACACAGTCTTCCATCCACAGAGACCACTAGTTATTTTTGAAAAGTCATTGTCATCTTCCCTTTTCTCATATATATAACCTCTAATATTCCTTATAACCATAGAATTACATAATTTTATGATTTTTTTCAATATTAGAGGGTATTATGCTTTATGGTATTTAGAAGATCCTAGCTTAGTTTCTCCTTGCTTCGTGTCCCCAACTAGATTATAAATTGCTTGAGGGTAATGGGCTCTTTCCTTCACCTTTTACCCACACCCTCCTCAAATAAAATGCTTTGTATACAATAGGCATTCCCTGGTATTACTAAAGGTAATTCATATGAATTTATTAAAATTTGATTGTCTATGTGTAGCAAAGGCAAGTTTAATATCTACGCTAATAGGTAATTCAATGAAGGTTGGGTATATATGTGAATTTTTCAGAGGGATCTTAAATGTTTATCTTGTAGTGTTTTGCTATTTTGTCTTAAGCCAAACCAGAATTTCTTCTTTAGGTGATTTCCATCACATTGTTTTCTGAAAATAGTACTCTGAGACAGTGGATTTTGAAATCTGAACATTTAAAGCTTTGGTTGATGATTCATCTTTAGTATAGACGGTAGCATCTGGGCCTTGTTTCTATTCTGCAGTAGGATATTCTGTCTTGCTAATTCTTAAAAAGAGTTTGGTGTTAGTTATGTGAGAGTATAGGCATTGTTGGTGAGTCTAAGAATGTTATAATAACTCTCTGAAATATTACATAATCCTAACTCTTAATATTGAATTTTGATTTGCAGTTTCAGCCACGAGGGTATGAATGCCGGGATGCTGTGAACGAGTGTGATATTACTGAATATTGTACTGGAGACTCTGGCCAGGTATGGCGCACTGAATTTTCAGTAATACATTTTACTTGTAAGTGCAGGTTGAGTATTCCTTATCCACAATGTTTGGGGCCAGAAGTGTTTCAGATTTAAAATTTTTGGATTTTGGAATATTTGCATATTCATAATGAGGTATCTTGGGGATAGGACTCAAATCTAAAGAAGAAAGTCTTTGATGTTTCATATACACTTTATACACATTGCCTGAAGGTAATTTTATGTAATATTTTTAAGTAATTTTGTGCATTAAACAAAGTTTGTGTACATTGAATCCTCAGAAAGCAAAGATACCACTATCTCAGCCACCCATGTGGACAATCATTGGTTGTTCAGCATCACCATGATTCCTGAATCTAAGTGCTACCAATACACAATTATTCTCCTGTACTTATTCACACCTAATTACTTAACAGTAAAAAAAAATTGGACATACCATTAAGACATTGAAAAAATAATGTGTTCAGGGTAATCAAACAGCACAGTAGCATCACCCAAATAACTGTATCAGCTGTTGAAAAACAGCAACAATGAAAATGGCAGGCTTTCAGTCACCACTTAGGATGCTGTGTTTTAAACCTTTGAAAAAGTTGCTGTATGCTGTATTTTACTTTTTTTTTTTTTTTTTTTAAGAAACATCAGAAGCAGTGGAGGGACCAGGAAGTGGGTCCTCTAGGGATAAGGGGGCATTCTGCTGGATGGATTTTTAAAATGGTTCCTCCAGAGTCATCTGCCTCATTAACAGAGTTTTTGCTTAGAAGTCTCTCTTTGATTTTATTAGATTGGTACAAAAGTAATTGCGGTTTTTGCCATTGCTTTTGATGGCAAAAACCATAATTACTTTTGCACCAACCTAATATAAACTGGCATGATTTCTTGTTCTGTTATGAATGCACACTGGCTCTAATTCTTCACGAAGCCCATCACACACTTTCACCATACATCCATAGGCACTTCTGCAGTGTTAATGATGTCATCTTCATCATGTCAACACTCAAAACGTTTCAGATTTTGGAGCATTTCTGATCTTGGATTTTTGTTTTAGGAAGCTCACTCAACCTGACTCAACCTGTACATATTTTAAAGCTTTCAGTATAGATTGCACATGTGAATATTCTTTGTTTCCTTTGTTTTATGTTTGATTTTGCTTGGTTTGTGGTTATTTCTAGCTCTTTACCATACCTTCATTTTAGGAAAGTTTGGTGTGGTTCTCTTTTTTTGTGTGTGTGGGGTAGGGGCCTAAATCTTTTTTTCTTCCTAATTTCTCCTTCATAACTAGTTCTCTTTATATGATTTGTATCCAACTAATTGATTTTTCTTTTCTGGTCCTTACATCTTAAACAGTACGTTCACACTGATGAAGCACTAATGTGCTGTTTTGAAACATTTTAAAGCCACGAAACCAGTTATTAGACAAAATTTGGATGGATGCCCAATGTAGAAAATAAGGAACAAGCAGCACTACTCTGGCTGAAGTGGGATTGGGAGCAGAAGTCCACCTTTCTTAATTCTCCGTTGCCACGTCTGTTGCACACATGTAGCCCTGGCTTCATGGCCTGTGTGGTTTGGCATGATCTTCTTCCCATTAAAATTATTGCCACATAATTAATATTGCCCTCTAAAATTCCTTCTTTGTATAATGTTTATGTTTTTAATTTACCTATTATTTTATGTGTTTAATTTATACACATTATGTCTTTATTTGTCATTCAAGTGAATATTTGTTGAGGGCCTACTGTGTGATAAGCACTGCTCTAAATACTGGGACATGGCCTTACTTTCATGGAACCTACATTCTGCTGGGTATAGAAAGGCAAGTAAATAAACAAAAATGTCAGATGGTGATAAGTACAAAGCATAAAATAAGGTGAAGTGGAAAGAGTATAGGGTAGGATGTGATAGATAGGGTGATCAAATATTTCTTCCTGGAGGAGATGGCATGGAAGCAGAGACACAAATAAGAAGGAGCTCATCAGTAAATAATGAGTACAGAAGCTTAGCTTCTCCATGAAATGGGATGAAAGCAAGGATAGCTGGAGAACAGTGGAAACATTTCAAAAAGGAAGTCAAGAATCAGGGCAGGTAGGGACATGTAGGCCATGGAAAGAATTTTAGATTTCATTCTACCTTCATTTTAATTCTGACATTATTTTAAAAGCATTTCCCCATGCTATTATACAGTTTTTATAGGTAATTCTTTTCACGATTGTATGAGAGTCTGTCGTGTGGATTTATCAGTTGATTTATACCCAATGTGGGTATCTAGATTTTGGCAGTTTATTATTAGTAGTATAGAAGTGAACATTTTTGTGCATTTTTACGAGAGTGTTTCTTGTTCAGGGTTAGCTCCTCAGGACAAGTTCCTAAAAGTGGGAGTTACCTGTTGTTAGGCATTGTGCTTTCCAAGAGGCTCCCAATAGAGTACACTTGGCAGTCAAAATATCACTTTTATTATTGAAAATGGCCAAGTTGAAGGCTGTAGCTTAATGTGAGGGCTAAAAAGTTATCTTTAAGATCCCGGTTCAGGCTGTAGCAACAGGTTACTGACAAAATTGGGTCCAGAAGGACAATGTATGGCACGGGGCAGCAATGGACAATGCATAGTTTATGTGGGTAGGCTTGCTTCTAAAAGAATGGCAGAACTGAGGCAGAATGCCTAGTTCTTCTTCCCAAGCTTATCATTGGTCAATCACTCCACCTCCCAATGATGGAAGTGAGTAAAGAGGAGGGGAGCTGGGGTTACACTAAGTTCCTTAATCAGAAGGAAAAATGAGGAGAGGGAAAGAAGGGTTCTAATTAACATTTTTGTAAAGGTGTTGATATATATTATTTGAAGCTCAATTCAAATGGATGCTGTTAAATAGATTGTACCGTGAAATATGTTCAGGCCATGTTTTCATTATTTTTATGCATATCTGTTTCTTACGTTTCATTAAATAGGTTTTTTTTGCAATTTTCTGTAATACAAAGTATGAGAATTGTAGGTTCTGTGTTTAATGACAAGTGTATTGACAATCCTGATACACTGTTTCACTGAGTTATATTTTTAGCTTTGTAGAATACTACTATTTTTATATTTACCATATATGGTTTTAGTTCTGTGTAGTGAGCCCTTTTTTTTGGCCGGGCGCGGTGGCTCAAACCTGTAATCCCAGCACTTTGGGAGGCCGAGACGGCGGATCACGAGGTCAGGAGATCGAGACCATCCTGGCTAACACGGTGAAACCCCGTCTCTACTAAAAACTACAAAAAACTAGCCGGGCGTGGTAACGGGCGCCTGTGGTCCCAGCTACTCGGGAGGCTGAGGCAGGAGAATGGCGGGAACCCGGGAGGCGGAGCTTGCAGTGAGCCGAGATCGCGCCACTGCACCCCAGCCTGGGCGACAGAGCGAGACTCCTTCTCAAAAAAAAAAAAAAAAAGAAGTATAGTTTTTTCATTTCAATTTTTAACTCTTTAAGTGCCATAGAATTTACTAGAAATAAGACTTTTATGATGAGAACTCTTTGTTTAACCTAATATTCTATTGTCTAAGTAAAACATTTTTTTCTTTTTATAGCATGTGTCTAAACTGAAAATTACACTGTTAAATTAATTTCACAGTAGCACATTAAAATAGAATATTTTTGCTAATATTTTTCTAGCATGATCAGGATGAACCTAAAATAGAGGTAGAGGGACTTAAAACCCCCCAAAAATCTTCTTTTTCTCCTTAAGAAATAATGAGCCTTGATTTTAATTAATACCACTAATAATTAAGAAAATGGAATCTCTGCAACTCTGAGAATCAGTATTTACAGGCAACATTAAGACTTTATCTCTTTTACCTCATAATGTATTTATCTTAATTTTTATATTAGCATTTTTATATTGCCTCAGAGCTACTTATTAAACTTACAATTTATAATAGAATAAACAATACTTAAGAGAAATCCTTGACAAACAATACTGGTAGATGTAATACAGATATTTGAAAGATAGGAGAAATATTTTTTGTTAGTGCTATGAAATATGTCATCTGGGTGGGTAATATAACATAATTTAAAGTAAACACTTCTAAATGCTATTGCACTATTGAAGCCTGTCTGCCTCGAGTGAACCATCCTGTATAGCATAATGTACAAGGAAGGTTCTAGAATGACATTTAGAGACTGAATCCAATGCTCTGCTCATAAGCAGAATAAAGTGCACAGATTTATGGTTCTCCTGTTTTAAATGTGCGCAGAGAACATAGAACGTTCCCTAATTTCTCTGGTTAAACATTCCTGTGATAAGCAACTGTCTTTTATTAGCCTAAACTAAAACCAAATAGATTAGAAATCTGACATGTGGCTGTGCCAATTTAGAATAAGGGCATTTTTTTTCATTAGTGAAGAATTGTACAAGGTTTTTTCTAACTGAAACATCACAAAAGTAAAATCTGACAAATTAATTTTAGATCCTGATGTGCTTATTCTAATAGCAATATTGCTTTTGCATTACTGTTGACTGAGGTTGTGTTAGTTTTATTCATTTTTTAACATTACAATTTATTTATTTTTCTGTAAGTTATTGGGGTGCAGGTGGTATTTGGTTACATGAGTAAGTTCTTTCATAGTGATTTGTGAGATTTTGGTGCATTCATCACCTGAGCAGTATACACTGCACCATATTTGTAGTCTTTTATCCCTTGCCCCTCTCCCCGCTTCCCCCTAAGTCCCCAAAGTCTGTTGTATCATTATTATGTCTTTGCATTATTACTTAGCTCCCACATATCCGTGAGAACATATGATGCTTGGTTTTCCATTCCTGAATGATACCTCTTAGAATTAATAGTCTCCATTCTCAGCCAGGTCACTGCAAATGCTGTGAATCCATTCCTTTTTATGACTATGTAGTATTCCATCATATATATATATGTGTATATACACACACACACGCTACAGTTTCTTTATCCACTCGTTGATTGATGGGCGTTTGGGTTAGTTGATGGTCATTTGAGTTGGTTCCATGGTTTTGCA